AAATATTCCCACTACTAAAGTGCAGTGATAAGGAAGGAAATTATATTGAAAATTTTTCTTTTCATTAGTTGGCTGCTGAGTTATTGAAATATATAAAATGTATGTGTGTATGTATTCATATATATATATATATATATATATATATATATTTTTGAATGGGATCATGTATTTGTTTTACTATGTGTTGTTTTTCAAGATGCAGTTTATTTAAAACTGTTTTGATATGAAACATTCAATGTATTTCTTTCTCTTATTCAGTTCTGTTATATATTCATATACCACTTTTGCACACACACACACACACACACACACACACACATATATATATATATATATATATATATATATATATATATATATGTCTGAAAAATGTATAGACGGTTAGTTAATGGCAGGTATATGTTTGTTCCATGAAAATTAATCAAACATGAAGTTATTAAGAATAAATGTTGCTTAATGTAAATTTTAGAAAGGAACATATGATATGTTTCTATTTAAGTTGAACTTTATGCCTTCAAAATGTTCAGTAGAAATATCATTGTTAGCTGAAAAACTCTGCCCATATGTTTTTTAATCAAAAGATATTTGCATAGTTTGTAAAAATGTGTAATCTTCATGACAAATATTTTATAAAATTATGTAATATAAGAATTTAATTAATTTTGTGATAATCATAACTGCTATTAGTAAAATTTGTACACATTTTTGTGGGTGTATGGAGTGATTGATTTGTTTTTTGGGTTATCAACCTTTTGTAGGTTATTTAAAGTCAGAAAATATTTTTAGATTATAAAAACATTTTGAGATTTTGGGGAGATAATGATTTTTACTGGTGCAAGTACTAGGCAGGCTCATTCTTTTTATCTTTCTCTCTTTCTCTATATATATATTCTCTTTCTCCATATATATATATATATATATGTGTGTGTGTGTGTGTTCAAATGTGTGTTGATTCATTCAACCCATTGATAGTTATTTAAAGCCAGAAAACATTTTTAGATTGTAAGCATTTGAGTTAGTAATGATTTAGTGATACAAGTCTTACTATTTAAGATAGCTGGGGGGGAGAAGAGGTGGATTCATACCTTTCCCGAAGGTATTCATGTGTAAATAAATATAACGAAGTTGATTGGAATTGCAACTCAGCTTTCTGATTTCCAATTCTAGACCATTATCACTTACATCAAATGCAAATCCAGGCTTGCAGCATCTGGTATTCTGAAATGGTCACCCATCTAGGTACTGACCAGGCTTGATGTTGCTTAACCTCCATATGTGTGTGTGTCGAAAAACAACTACTAATATTGATCTCACCCAGAGAGAAAACAATGACATAATCAAGATGTTGACATTCCACACTACTTAAAACAAAAGTTTAGGAAGGAAACCCCCAGTCAGAACTGAAAAGAGCGGCAACAGCTACTACACTTCAGAAACCTATTTTCCTGAAAAATTGTTTTTAGGGAAAGATTTTAGAAATTTCAAATGGTAGTAGTACTGACTACTCAGTCAATGAATGCTGAATGTTTCCTTATAAGAAAACAGCTAATATTACTATTAGAACACACACACACACACACATATATATATATATATATATATATATATAGTTGGATTGGTGTGAGTTTGTGAGTGTCACAAACTCACACCATTCCAACTAAATATGTTAGCTCTATCACTCATATTGAGCTCTTTTATGTAAGTAAATTGCATATATATATATATATATATATATATATATATATATATATATATATAGTCATTTATTATAATCATAAATAATGGTATTAAAACAGTTATTTTTAATCTAAAAAAATTATAATTACAAGTCAATCAATTCAAACTTCATACAAAAAATTTTTATGAATAAAACAAGGTGTATACATTCATAAGAATACAAATCATTCTATTTTTTATATCACTTATTCAATGCTATCAGATGAGTATTGCTATCTAAAAGATCTTGTCCCTAAGTGATCTCATCAAACAGTTATTTATATAAAGCAACAAATAAAATTAAAATTTCCGCTTTGTTTTTTGCTACTATTAATCTTCTGTCTGTTCATACTGAGCCCCAAAATAACAAAGACTGCTTGACTTAAAAGCGGAAATTTTCCAGAAAAAAATAACCTGGTAAATGTTTTGTTATTTTTGAAAAATACAATCTTTGTTATTCTTTTACTGTTTTATTTATAGATATATATATAGATATATATATATAGTGTCTGTAAAATACTATATAAACACATGAAGCTTTTAGTTGCAATTTTACACTTTTCATTTATTGCCTTGGTAAATATATATATATATATATATATATATATATATCCATTGTGGAGAAGATTCAATGTGGCTTCTACATTCAGATCCCCACTATGATTACAAAAGTCTAGGGGATGATGATGATATATATATATATATATATATATATATATAATATATATCATCTCAAGATGATTGCTGTGAAAATTATTGTTGATAAGTATTTGTTTTATGCTGCTGAATTCTCAATAAAATACTGTGTCCATTTTTAAATAAAAGTTTTATAAAAAACATTATTAACCATCCAAAAATTATTTCCTTTTTCAGCACATTATCATATAGAGAAATAAGCAGCTTCAAACAAAAACGCTTACCAATAATAATTTCACAAACCATGTTCTTGATGAAGAAATAAAATTAGTTTTATAGAAATTAGTATATAAAAGTTTTGTGTAAAACTTTTCCTATTTGTCATACATCTCTCTTTAAAACGTTCTTGATATATAAAATGTATATATCGTTATCCCCCATATATATATGTCCACTATATATATATATATATATATATATATATATATATATATATATAGTGGACACTTTGACTGCATGAAACTTTCACCACTTGATGTTGACCACAGTGTCCACTTTTATATTTACACATACTCTGTCCTTGATATTGACTATGTTTACCCATAAATATAGCATACCTTTAATTACTGTGTGTATACGCACTATAAAATAATGGTACTATATTAAACACTTGTCTAAAACTTTTTATAACAATTTCAGACACATTATTTATTGTTTTTAGCCTTCAATATATATATATATATATATATATATATAAACAAGTTTTATTAATAAGACTGATGATGTCTTTTTATATTGTCTTTCCGATTTCTGTTTTACATCAGAATTAAAATTATTAATAAACAAAGTTCATTTTTTTTTGTAATATATATACATATATATATATATGCACTCACACATTATTTTATAAGTGATGGAAAATAACATTTTCTTCAGCAAATGCAATAATATTAGTTGTTTGTGTATAATGCTAAAGACTAGTCCTAAAGTCTGTGTGTGTGTGTGTGTATATATATATATATATATATATATATGAAGTTGACATGTTGAAGAATATTTGACTTGTATATCTCTAGTAGCATCAAAAGCAACAACAAAACAAACAAAACAATATTATTCTTTCTTCCCTTGTAGAGGGATGATAGCTCAGCCCTGATTTTAAAGGCTTCAAAAGTAATTGTTAATTTTGAGTTGTTATCATTGTCATAACCTCCTCCTCTAATCATATGTTCCTCCTCCTTTTCCTCTTTTATCTCCACCTTCTTCTTTACTGTTGACTGTTATCTTCATTTCTTGGTGTTTCTGTTGCTATCACTACCCACCTTCTCAGTCTTCTGTCAATTGTAGTAGCAGTAGCAAGTGATGAGATGATGAAGCTGACCAATCATTGGATGGCCTTCTGCTGTCTCTCCCCACTTTTTGCTTGCCGGCTGTGCTAGAGCCCAGGTAATAAATACCAGGTGAATAAATCGGAGCTTTATACAATTATTCACCACATTGTTACTTCTCTTCATCCCTGTGCATATGTGCTCATTTTTGAGTGACAGCATGCGAAGATATGTGTGCCTGCTTCTGACTTAGGAAGTTGGAGAGAGATAGAGAAGGAAACAACAGGCCAGTGATGAGAGACTTAAAAATAACACTTAGAAAAAATAACTATGTGCAGCTTTACTGTTAGCAGAGGAGATGCTGCTAAGCTGTCAGTGATAAAGTTTGTGGAGTTGGGAGATAGAAGACACTGAAGTGGAGAGGAGGGGACAATACAAGAATGTGAATAGCAAACAGAAAATGAGAAGAAGAAGGAAAAAAGTATGGATGGCAGCTGTCCGAAGCTCACTATACAGCTTGTATTACTGTTGCCAATTCCATTATTGTAGACATCATCGTTTGCTGAGACGTCTTTCTCTATATTTTGCCTGTTAACCTCTATGCTTTTTCCTCTCTCTTCTTTCTTTTTTTCATTACCACCCTCTGGCCTCATCTCTGCCTCTGCTGTTGTTACTGTTGATAATGATGATACAGTATCTTCCTAATGCAAGAACCATCTTGTCAACACAACTATCCACAGTTGCCTTCTTCTTCCTCTGTTAATATCTAAGTTTATTATCTCCACTTTCACTTTCACTTTGCTTGTCGTGGTGACATGACCAACAGTTTTACGATTTAGTGCATTATTTTAGTTATTCAATCACCCATCACTACTAGTGGCTTGACCTGTATCACTAACAAACTCGACCCTAAGTGACAGATTATCATTATCGCCTATATAGATTCATTTTCACCTGTTTCAAGGTGGGTCGCTGTCAAAGAACCTGAAAATTTACCTGCTAATTCTTACCACCTCTATAGCAACCATTAGACAGAGCAAAAGTAGTTCCCATTGCGAACTTAATTTCTTGCGTCGCATCTTGTTCTGTTTCCCTCTTGATACTTTGAGTCAAGTTTTAAGGTCCAGCCTCCCGAAAACTTTGTCAAGCAAATATGCTAATTAATCCTGTAAGAGAAGAAGAAATTTCTAATTGGAAATCAAAAACACACATGCAAACATACACACAAAAAACCAAAGAACATGTTAAAAATGGAGGACCGTAATCAATTTGTCCGTCTTTGCACCTGGGTCTCCCTAACACCTTCCCCATACTGCTGGTATGCAGACTTTTCTCAGCAATGTTATAGTTAGTGTCATGGTGATTATGATGGCTCCACCATCTGCCACCAACCACTCTGTTCACTGTCACACACATCCACACGCCATCATCAATTCTGCTGAGGCAACTGCTGCTGATTTTGCCATTTCTTTGAGGTCAAAGTTGACAATGGTGGCAGTCATGACAACTTACTCATCAAGTGAAATCAACAAACTAAGGTATTTATTTAAAGTGGATTTTGCTGGAGTGTTCTGCTTTGTGGATGTTGTTGCTTGAAAATTATTTTCTTTTGTTTATATTTTTACCTATTTTCCTACACTTTTAACTTTGTTAGAAGACTACCTGTCATTTTCTCATGTACTTGTAAAATATTCAGGGGGATAAATGTCTCTCTCATTTGTCAATCTATCTTAGCCTCTTCATATTTATCTGTCCCAATCTGTTCATATCTATCTATCACAATCTTTTCATATATGTCTATCTATCTTGATTTGTTCATGTCTGTCTATCTATCTCGGTCTCTTCATGTCTGTCTATCCCGTCATTATCCATCTATCTCGGTCTCTTCATGTCTATCTATCTATTCATCCGGTCTTTCATGTCTGTCTATCTATCTATCCCGGTCTCCTTCATGTCTGTCTATCTATCTATCCCGGTCCCTTCATGTCCGTCCATCTCCATCCCGTCTATCTATCTATCTGTCTGGCCCCTTCATGTCTGTCATCTATCTATCTACCTCGGTCTCTTCATGTCTGTCTATCTATCTATCTCGGTCTCTTCATGTCTGTCTATCTATCTATCTCGGTCTCTTCATGTCTGTCTATCTATCTATCTCGGTCTCTTCATGTCTGTCTATCTATCTATCTCGGTCTCTTCATGTCTGTCTATCTGTCCTCTACCTCTCGTCTCTTCATGTCTGTCTATCTATCTATCCGGTATGTCCTCGGTCTCTTCATGTCTGTCTATCTATCTATCTCGGTCTCTTCATGTCTGTCTATCTATCTATCTCGGTCTCTTCATGTCTGTCTATCTATCTATCTCGGTCTCTTCATGTCTGTCTATCTCTCATGGTCTCTTCATATCTAACTATCAATATCTATCTATCATATTATTAACATATAAGCAAAAAATAAATACTTGAATAGTTCCTATTATTTAAAATATCTTTCAGGAACAAATTGTATTTGCAAGGTTTTGTTTTTGCTCTGCATGTGCATGCATGTATATATGTTTGTGTGTATATATATACATATATATATGCACACATGAAAATAACATTTTTTATTTATTTACCCCTTAAAATGTTAATGGATAAATCAAAAACATTTTCTTTATATGTATTAAATCACTCTTTTACAAGTATTTCAAATATAGCACTAATATATATAAGAGGTGTATATAAATACTATATATGTAATTCTGTAGCCTAATGATGGGAGGAAAAAAAGCATTTATTTTACACAACAAATATTTATTTTTCAACATAATCTCATTTCCATAGTTTTTCTCTTCATTACATAGATTAAATGTAGTTATGGTGATTCCTAACTTTGATAAGCAATTCCTTAATCATATTGGATGCAGAGTATTATTTACAAATTTTCTTTTATTTATTTAAATATATTTCTTAAATGCCAGCAAACACACACATACACATTTTCTTAAATGCCAGCAAACACATACACATTTGTGTTTTGTTGTTTGTGTATTTACTGCCCTGTAAAACACATGTAAATAAATATATATATATATATATATATATATATATATATATATATATATATATATATATATATATATTGATAATATTAGTGGAAAATATATATACATATGAAAATATATCTAAAAAATTCCCATACATGTATATTTTCAGAAAAAATTTTTCCAAGAGGAAGGATCCAGAAGATTTTTTATATATATATATATATATATATATATATATATATATATATATATATATATTATTTATTATTAAAAAATTATCGCATTATAATTTTCGAATAAATTATATTTGCTCTACTCTGTATTGAGCCCACTTTTTAAGAATAGTATTTTTAAGTTATTGGAATTTATTCCGTATACACCAATCCTATACTTGGATATATATATATATATATATATATATATATATATATATATATATGTGTGTGAAACATTTAAATAAAAGAACTATATAGGAGAGAGGAGGAGAAACTCTATAACATATCTTTTTATTAAATGTTGTTACAGGTTTCGATATCTCTTCCTTTCTTCAGCAAAAGATTTACATTGATTTAATTTTAAGTTCAAGTATGAAAAGTACAATATTGTACTTTTGCAGTTGAACTTAAAAATTAAATCAATGTAAATCCTTTGCTGAAGAAGGGAAGAAAAATATCAAAATACATACCAACATTCCATAAAAAAAATATCATGTGTTATATTGTTGTCTACAATTCTATTGTTTGGATCATGGTTTTAATGATATCAAATATATAATTATATGTTTGTATATTTTATTTAAATAAATATATCAATAAGTAAGTTTCTATAGTTTATGTATATATATATATAATCTGTAGAGTATATATAAATAAACATATGTATGTGTATATACACACACACACACACATGCCTATCAAGAAGACTCATGCTAAATCTCTCTGACCATATCTCAATTAAGCCTCATTTAAACACACACAGAACCCAACCAAACTCTATCCACAACATACTTGTAGAAAATACAACTATAATAGCCTTATCCACATGCAAAAAATGGTTAAAAATAATGAAAGCATTATTAATAAATATGAAAAAGCCCATCACTCAATAACATTACCAATGAATACAATCACAATATGCTGACCAGGTTTGAAAAATAAAAAAAACATTCCTATAACTCTAGATACATATGTAAAAAAAAAAAATCAAAAAAAATCATACATTCAGTTAATAAAAAGAAAAATCATCTTTGATAATGGCTAGAAGATACATACAGAACATACTTTATGTCCAAGAAAGAAAAAAAATATATGAACACAAGAAAAATTAAATAAAAACTTAATTGCAGTACCTTGTCAGTTATTTTTAATGAAACTCGTATCAAAAAGGGATTTCTGCCCAAATGCGAGTTTATCATCTATTTATGCCTATGTTTTTATTTCATTATTTTATTCTGTCTTTTCAATCCCATATGTAAAGAATAATTTATACTTATGGCAAAAATATTGGAAATATCATTTGTTTTACTTTTTACATAAATAATATGTTTTATATTTGATACCTCTGTATGTTTATACCAGATATCTGATGGTTCTCGAAAGAGTTTAAGTGACAAGTCCTTGGAATATCCAGTATCATCATCTCTTCCCTATTATTATTATTATTATTATTATTATTATTATCTATCTATCTATCTATCTATCTATCTATCTATCTATCTATCCTCATTTACGTTTCACACAAGTGGTATCTGGTGA